TCTTCGCTGCAGCCATGTGCTCTGGTCGGTGTCTCCCAGGAGCAACATAGCGTGCCAAGATGCTAAGAGGGTATGCAAGGTCAGGTCGCGTGCAGGTCATCAGGTACATGAGGCAGCCAACAAGCTCTGGGTACGGGCCACTCGGCTCTACGGACTCATCCGAAGGCAGAGCTGAGAGCGAGTGACCTGTAGCCAGAGGAGTGGCCTGAGGCGAGGAGTACGTGAAGTCGAAGCGCTGAAGGACCTGCTGCACCATGTGTGACTGAGACAGTGTAATGGTGCGCCGTGCTCTGTCCCGGGTGATCTGCAAGCCGAGGTAGCTGCGCAGTTCACCTAGGTCTGTGCACGTGTGTCGCTTCTGCAGCTCGGACTTCACGTGGGCGAGTCCAGCAGTGTCAGCTGTAGCGAAGACCAAGTCGTCGACGTACACGAGGATGTAGAACGGCAGCAGGGAGGTGTCGGTGCGCAGAAACAGCGACGGGTTAGCAGTCGAAGGAGCAAACCCAAGAGCCGCAAGCGTAGTCCTCAGTGTATCGTGCCACTCACGCGGCGCCTGGCGGAGACCGTAGACTGGCCGCCGGAGGCTCCACTGGGTGCTAGGAGGAAACGTCCCAGTGAAGCCAGGTGGGCGACGCAGCCAGATCTCCTCGTGCAGGCTGCCCTGTAGGAAAGCTGTGCTGAAGTCCAGAGAGTGAAGCTCGTAGTCACGGTGAGCAGCTATGTGCAGCAGCACCCGAAGAGTGGTCATCTTCGGGGTGGGAGAGAAGGTCTGAAAGTAGTCAACTCCCTGCCGCTGACTGAAGCCTCGAGCCACGTAACGCGCCTTGAAGACAGGCGGAGAACCCGGCGGCCGCTTCACCCTGAAAATCCACATGCCACTGACGATGTTCGCCCCAAGTGGGGGAACCTCGTCAACGTAGGTGCTTGTGGACTTCCAGGAAGCCATCTCTGCGTCCATGGTTGCCTGCCACTGAGAGGAGTAGGGACCCTCTATCGCCTCCGCGTAAGAGCGCGGAGTCGGGATGTCTGGTGCATCCGGGTCTCCCTCAGGGGCAAGTAGCGAGGACACAAGATGAGGTAAAGCAGCAGCAAGACACTGGAACTCCTCCTGTCTGTCCTCAAGGACGTCCGTGCTAAGAGCACACTCACCCCCGACGGACGGAGGACAGACAGACTCAGACTCAGCAACAAGACTAGCGGCGTAGTCTAGACGACAGGCAGCAGCAAAGTCAACAAGCTCAGCGACCAAGGCAGACGCAGCAGTAGACTCAAACGACGGGTCAGTGACAACAGTGGCTAGCAGACGCGTGACGGTAGGGTGCTCAGCACGGAACCGGTCAGACTCAGGGTCCGGAACGGCAGGCAGAGAGGACGCAGGGGGAGACGGCAGAGGAACAGGCTGCGGAGCAGAGGAAGGACGACGGACAACAAGGTGTGCGCTGGGGACAGCCGGCTGACGCAAACGAGGAACACGACGAACGGTACGACCAGAACGAACAGGCGAGACAGGACGCGACGCAGGCTCACGACGCTCAGCAGGACTGCCTGTCGGCTCAGTGTAAGGAGAGGGAGCAGGTAGCGGTGAGCCAGTCTGTAACGGAAGACTAGTAGACGACGGGAGAGTAACAACCTGACGAAGAGCAGAGTCAGGCGGCGGCAGAGACGACGGAGACGGCGGAGCGAAGAACAGTCGTGTCGGCGCAGCTGCACCAGTACCAGCAGCTCCAGCACCTCCAGCAGCTCCAGCGCCTCCAGCAGCTCCAGCACCTCCAGTAGCTCCAGAAGCTCCAGTCGAAGAACCGGTACCCCCAGCGCCAGCACCTCAAGACTGAGCGTCACCAGTAGCAGCACCCCCAGAACCGGCACCTCCAGTCCCAGGGTCTCCAACCGCAGGGTCTCCCGCAGCAGCACCCCCAGAACTAGCACCTCCAGTCCCAGGGTCTCCAACCGCAGTGTCTCCCGCAGCAGCACCCCTAGGACCAGCACCTCCAGTCCCAGGGCCTCCAACCGCAGTGTCTCCCGCAGCAGCACCCCCAGAACCAGTACCTCCAGTCCCAGGGTCGCCAGTCTCAGTGTCCCCAGGAACGGCGCCTCCAGGCACAGCACCCCCAGCCCCAGCAGCTCCAGTACCTCCAGCAGCAGAGCCCCGGGCTCCAGCAGCGCGACGCTGACGGCGACCGTACCAGTCGTGGAGCTGCTGTGGGGTGAGAGGCACACGCGGACGAAGGCGGCCACTCCAAGTAGGCCGCGCACCAGCAGTCCCAGTGCCCTCAAGCGTCTCACCTCCAGACTCAGTACCTCCAGACTCCGCACACACAGGCTCAGTACCCCCAGTCACAGCACCCCCAGGCGCAGGACCCCCAGTCTCCTCACGCGCAGGCTCAGCACCCCCAGACTCCGCACCCCCAGACGCAGCACCTCCAGGAGCACCACCCCCAACAGCACCAGAGTCAACAGGAACCGGCTGCAGAGGCGGCGAAGAAGGTCAAGGGGCGGCTGCTGCAAGGGCGGCTGCTGCAGGGGCGGCTGCTCCAGGGGCAGGGGCGGCTGCTGCAGGGGCAGCTGCTCCAGGGGCCAGGGGCGGCTGCTCCAGGGGCCAGGGGCGGCTGCTGCAGGGGCGGCTGTGAGAAGGGGGGGTCGCGAAGGGGCGGCGACGAGCCGCGAAGGGGCTGCGAAGGGGCGGCGACGAGCCGCGAAGGGGCCGCGAAGGGGCCACGAAGGGGCCGCAACGGGCCTTTAAGGGGGGCCGCGAAGGGCCTTTAAGAGGCAAGCCTCTAAGGGGCCGTGAACTTTCTGGGCAGGGCGCAAAGCGCGCTTCGGGCAGGCTAAAAAAGAAGTCAAAACGGTGGGCCCAAGGTAGGAACTTCCCCACTAGGGGAACATGCTCTATACCATGTGAAAGCGAGAAAAGATGGATGGACTAGAAGGGAGGGAGGTACAAGTAACAAAACCTATACCCAATAGAGTCTAACCCACTAAAGCCTACACAAACAATGTTGTATAAGTTTGACACAGCCATGAGGCATGCCACGCTGAACCCCTCAGTGCAAGCGCTGACTCTCACTTCTTCTCTCACATGGCTTATCCATGTGTGTGTCTCATGCCATCCGCCGCACCAGGCACGAGCAGCAGGTATGGGCAGGAGCAGCAGCAGCCATGAGGCATGCCACGCTGAACCCCTCAGTGCAAGCGGTGACTCTCACCAGGCCCCACGATATCAGGGCAAAACATCCTGATTACCCTGATTTCAGGATGCAGTTTTGAATTTGCCCTGTAATTTCAGAATAGTCTCACTTTTAACCCTGTGGTCAGGCCTCTGGTTAACAGGGTGAATCACCCTTATGACACTTACTATAAGGCTGGTTTTCATTATGCACCCTTTTCTTTCAGAGTGGTTCAATTCTAGACCCTTACAAGAAAAAGTGTTTCGTTCTAGGACACTGATATTTCAGAATTAAGAGGTGTAGACACACTGACGAAACAGAGTCCGCTCTTAACATGAATGTTACATTTTCCCTGGTAAAACACAATATGACAAGCCCTACAACAGAATCTACCTACATCGAGCATCGAACTTGCATCCTCAGCATCAAACTCACACAAAATCTCACTTTAACACAGGACACTATAAGTATAGCAAATAAAGATGAATTGTACGCAAAGTTTGCACCCTGCTAAGAAAGAGTGTTTCTGCCAGGTACCCTTTCAGAAAGAGTGAAGACAGAGCATTGGCCTTACGCGAAAGAGAGGCTCAAATCCTAACCAGAGCCCTGCCTGTGGTCTCAGGATGATGTTATATGAAATGCCCTGGAAATTCAGAATGGCTGTGGTGTTCTTCCCTGTATCGTCAGGATGAATGTCGAGGCTTGCCCTGACGCGTTTTTTTAAGGGGGGGGAGGGGAGGGGGGGGGGGGGGGGGGGGGGGGGGGGGGGGGGGGGGGGGGGGGGGTTGGGGAGAGGGGGATGGGGGGGAGAAGGTTTCCCGTTCCCGAGGAATTTTTTCCCCCGGGAAATTCTGCCCCGCGGTTTGGTTTCCCCGGGAATTTTCTCGCCTTTGCACGATTTCTTCCGCAGTTCCGTTCCGAATCTCCGCGTCGCTCCAGCCAAGCCAAACCCATCAGATTCGGAAACAGGTTAGGCAAGGCAACACCCCTGTCTCGCCTTGTGCCATGCTTGCTAGGGAGTAAGACTACAAGCTTGCTAATGCTGGTCCCACTACAAGTGCTAAAAACAGAACCCTGAACACTCGTTTTTTAGCCCTGACAGGTTAGGATAAATTTCTGCAAAAGCCCTGAAACTACAGGAAGCCTTTGAAAATTTGCCCTGACAAATCAGGGCATTTTTTAAGATTCTGGAAAGTTGCCCTGAGGCCTCAGGATGCCCCAAAACCTAGCACGGGCCCTGACTCTCACTTGTTCTCTCACATCAGATGGCTTATCCCTGTGTGTGTCCCACGCCATCCGCCCCACCAGGCACGAGCACCAGGTGTGGGCAGAAGCAGCGGCCATAACTCATCCCACACTGAACACCTCAGTGCAAGTTTTGGGGCGCCTCAAAGGTCATCTCTGTACCGTATCTTCTCGTGTGGAATACCGTATCATCCCTGTGTGCATGTCTAATGCCATCCCGCCCCTCCAGACACGAGCAGCAGGTGCGGGTGGCGGCAGCAGCCATGAGGCATGCCACGCTGTACACCTCAGTGCAAGTGGTTCAGTACGAGCTCTCTACAAACACACTCTACCTTCCCACGGTACAGTACGACGAACACTACCGGTACTTCCGTTTAGGCGTGGCTTTCACAACCTCACGTAGCTTTTACCCGCCATTGACCCGCATAAACGTCTATGCGACCAAAATTTCAGGTTTAATATACTTCCAAAACTTTAGCAAGCGCATAACATTGCAACGATAAACCAAGGAATCACATGACGCATCGAAGTAAACCGCTGGCAAAGTATGCTCGACAATGCTCCAACTAGACAACACCAAGACCCATCCCCTTACTTAATAGCCTTCACCATGTTGAAGGACGGAGTGATCCAAGCCTTAGGAGTCGGGTTGAACCCATAGCCACCCTTGGAAAGAGAACTAATCATATACAGCATGAACGTCTTCGCGACCGCGTTGGTGGGCACCTTCCTGATGAAGGCAAACTCCATGGACACCATGGGAGGGGTCTTAACTCCGGCCTTCCACACGAAGTCAACACTGGCCCACGACGCGTCGGGTGCGGCGGGAGGGGTGGCGGGGATGGCGAGGGCGGGGTTCCAAGCAGGGGGCTTCACAGCCACACCGTTAGCGTTCTTCAGAGAGACGACGAAACGCGCGGCACACGCTCCGGTGAACGCGTAGCCAATGGCGCCCTTGGTGGTGGCGATCGCAGTGCACATGCCCGACGTACCGTCCACCTTGGTGAGGCCGCCATAGGTCATGGCAGTGCCGTCCGTGTTCTCGGTGTACGTGGCGCCCAAAGCCTTGCTCCACATCGTCTTCACGATCGCCGTGGATCCAGACTTGTCGCTGCGCGCCACGCGGGTGATGGCACCCGCGACCTTGCCCTTGGCGGCGGGAATGAACGACCAGGCAGTGATGTCACCCTTGTACATGGAATACGTCTGCGCCGCAGTCAGCACGACGCCCGGGGCGCCGTTCACGAAGAAGCTGAAAGTGGAGACGCAGAGGGGAACGGTGATCTTGGCGGGAGCGCTACCCTCCTGCGTGGCAGTCATGGGGTCGTCGGAGACAGCAATCTGGTAGGTGCCGCCGTTGAAGCCGGTGATTCCGGCGCCAGATCCCACCGAATCGTACGGTACGACTTGCTGGGCGGGTTTCTTGCCTTTGTTATACTTATCAACCAGTCCCTTGCCGGCCTGTACGGAAGTAGAGGGAGAACGAAAAAAAAATTGGGTCAGCTGAAGATGTAAGCCGGTGCCGCATTCGCCGGTATGCACTCACGAGAAGGAATCGATGATGGCTGAGCGTGGCGATGTGCAATGTGAGGGGGAAAGGGCCGGTTTGAAGAAGGCTTACAGTTGCGAAGGTTGATGCTCCGCCCATGAAGCCCGCGAGAGCATGCGACGAGAAAGACATGATCAGGAGAGCAACCGCGAGGGTGGGAAGGGAGCGGGCCATGGTGCCTAGGATAAACTAGCAAAGAGGATTCTGGGTTTGATCGGAGCTCCTCGGGTGGTGAGAAGGAATCGAATGAATACTGCGAAGAGGAGGATTGATTTATGCTTCACAAATGCATGCGCGCTTCGGGGGTGCGGGCCGTGGCGTACGAGGATGAATGCTGTCTGGACTCACTCGGATCAGGTGACACTGCACCTGCGAAAAGAAGGAATCTTTCAGTGGTTACCCTAAAGTGGCAACAAACAGGGTCACGGATCCAATAGGACAAGAATGGCATCGCCAGCAAGGCGTCGATTCTACAACATTGGTTCGTTACAGAAGCTTGCACGAATTCGAACGAGGTCTGTCGCCAATTCGTGGAAGGTAACGGTCACCGACAATTTCTACAGTTTAACCTGCGACTCGACATGAAGGAATATTTTAAAATGGAATCTTGCCAAATTGGAGGAATAATGGTGATGTGCCAGATGGAATCTAGCCAGTTTCCTCGTCACCGATTGGTTCGATACACATGTCAGAACCGCAGCCCGGCGCATTCGGCGATGTGAGAAGGGCAAGTACGTGGGAAAAATGCGGCTGGTCACTAATAGCTGTCCCCGCTAATAGATTCACACCAAATGCCAACTGTTTGTAATGAGTTGTAAAAGAAGAAAGTGCAGAGAATGCAATATCGTGGAATTTATTACAACTACTAAACTGATAATGAGGCCTAGCACTAATGTAGCAATGCTAGCTAGGCCGGGGTCACGGAGTTGCGAGGTGGTTGGGTGCAGGTTAGGGGTTGGAAAACCTTATGGCGACGTAATGGTGGTTCAGAGGGCGGGGTCATCGGACGGAGCCTGTTTCTTGAAAACCGGAGTTGTACGCGTACTGTGTGACCCAGTAAGGAATCACAAAAATATATATATATATATCCTTACACTACCCACCCCCCCCCCCCTCGCTCCCCTCCCCCTTTTAAAAAGGTGGTGTATATCTGGAACTCCCCGCCGACCCAAGTAAGCATCAACAACTGGATGTCCGTGTAGCGAGTCAGCGACACCATATATGTTGTCCTCTCTCGTGTGATATTTCAAGCGAAGCAGGAAGATAACGTTGCGTCCGGTAGCCGTTAGATCTATGCGATGGTTCAAGATCTTCCATGACTCGAGCTTGGGTTCTGCAGAAGGTCGGGTTGTTGGCGCGATGATGGGCCATGCGATAGTAGGCGACATAGGCGGCTCATAACGACGCAGCAGACTGACGTGGAATGCGTCATGTATAAACCAAACGTGGGTCAGCAGTAGCTTTGCCGTGAAATGGTCTGACGTATCGGGGTCGAAGTTTCGCGAGCTGGGGCAGCCGCAATTTTTTGTGTCTAGGATGTGAAAAAGGGTAAATCCCGTCGGTGTTTGTCTGTGTTGCAACTAGCAGCGGTGTTAGCTTTGCGGATAAAATCTGCTGCTTTTTTGCGGGCAGTCTGAAGTTCTGTAACGAACTGTTGCGATCGTGGTACCGGTTTGTCAAGTGTGAATGAGGAGGGCACCACGGGGTCTATCCCGTAAGTTAGGTATAACAGTGATTGCTTAGTCGGTGTTGAAGGTGCGTTGTTATATGCAAACTCCAGCATTCAGGAGCGAATCCTCCCACTTGGTCAGGTCGGGGCAGTTGGTGCTCCATGGTCTGGTTTCTTCCTTTTTTTTTTTTTGTCTTGCCGTCAGTTTGCGGGTGGTATGACGTCGAAGACTGCAGGCGTGTGTCGTACTGTGCCCATTGTCAAACATTATATGTTTATATGATTGTAGGCTGTAGTGGGTTACAACTTAGGGGGTACACTAGATTAGGGTTTACTACTTGTATCCAACTTTGTGCTAGTACAGTCATTCCTGTCCGTTCATTCTGACATGGTTTCAGAGCAGGTCCTTCGCTAGGACCGTTTTTTTTTAAGGGCCCACCGTTCCCTACCTACCTACCTACCTACCTAGGGCGCCTCGAACTTTTTTTTACGGCCCCTACCTCCCGCGACCCGCGACCCGCCCCTTAAGGCCCCGTCGCGCCGCCCCTTAGCCGCTCGCGCGCGGTCTTTTTTTTTCCCGCGCGCGCCTTATTTCACTCGCGCGCGGCCCGTCGCCTGCTCGCGCACGCCCCGCAGCCGCCCGTCGCCTGCTCGCGCACGCCCCGCAGCCGCCCGTCGCCTGCTCGCGCACGTCCCGCAGGCCCGCAGCCCGCTGTCGCAGCGGCCGCCCGCCCGCAGCCGCCCGTCGCCTGCTCGCGCACGCCCCGCAGCCGCCCGTCGCCTGCTCGCGCACGCCCCGCAGCTGCCCGTCGCCTGCTAGCGCACGCCCCGCTGCCCGCAGCCGCTCGTACGCCGCTGCTTCCGCTGCTGCTTGCGCACTGCTGCCTCCCGAGCGCCGCCGCTGCCTGTGCGCCGCCGCTGCCCGTGCGCCGTCGCTGCTCCTACGCTGCCGCTGCCCGTGCGCTGCCGCTGCCCGTGCACCGCCGTTCCCAGTGCGCCGCTGCCGCCCGTGCGCTTCTACCTACCGCGCACACTGCTGCCACTGCAGCTGCCACCAGTGCACCGTTGCAGCTCCTGCTGCCACGCTACCTACTACTGCCGCTCGTGTGCCACTACGGACAGTCGACCCCGCCCGCGCCTTGCCTAGCGGCCCCGCCGGCCCCGTTGACCCTCCGCACACCTTTTCAGCGGCCTGATTCCTACTACTACTGTTACTACTGCTACTGTCACTATGGCTAGCCCGCCAGTTCTAGCTTTCGATGCCGAGGGCCGTCCAGTGAAGTTCGAAACCTGGCTAGATGACCTGCACCTGTTCCTACAGCTCACTGCCAAGGAAGATATCTCACTGTACGACCACGCCCTAGGCCATGCCACTGCCCCTGACTCGACTGCTGACAGCACTCTGCGTTCCCAGTGGCAGACCCGTGATGCGCACGCTCGCTTTGCTATTCGCAACTCCCTGCCGCTAGACGAGCGCGAGCACTTCGGCCAGTGCAAGACTGCTAAGGACCTCTACACCGCTGTAGTTGCCCGCTACTCCTCGCCCGCTTCTGCCACGCTAGGCCGCCTCACTCTCCCCTACCTGTTCCCCGACCTAGCCTCCTTTCACACTGTCGCAGACCTCATCACCCACCTTAAGACTAGTGAGGCCCGCTTTCGCGCTGCTATGCCTGCCGAGTTTCTCACTAGCAACCCCCCCCCCGCTCTGGATCACTCTCTACCACATCGTCACCCGCCTTCCTGACTCTCTGCGCGCAGTCAGGGACCACTTCCTCTCTCGCTCCCCCACTGAGCTCACTGTTGCCCTCCTCGAGAAGGAACTGCTTGCAGCTGAGGCGAGCATCGTCGCTGTAGGCACCTCTCGTGGCGACCCCCGCACCCCGTTCTTTGAGGGGTGTTCCCCTTCCCCCCTCCTCCCCTCTGTCGCCTCTGCTGCTGCTGTCGACCTTCTTGGTGCTGAGAAGGTCGGGACCGCGTCTGCTTCGAGTGGGCGCCGCAGGAACAAGGGGGGCAGGGGTGGGGGTGGCGGCGGAGGAGGTGGGGGTGGAGGCGGTGGGAGTGGAGGCGCGGCTGGGGAGACTAGTGGCGGCAGTGGGGGAGGAGACAGCAGCGGTGGGAGTGGTGGTGGAGGCGGCAGCGGAGGCGGAGGTGGTCGTGGCGGCGGCAGGGGTGGAGGTGGCCGGGGCGGCGGCGGTGGGGGTGGTGGTCGTGGAGGCACTGGCGGAGGGCAGAGTCAGCAGCCCGCCCCGACGCTTCAGGCCGCCCGTGAGTGGTATGCGCAGCGTAGCTTTACCTGCACGTACGTCATTCGCACAGGTGACCGCAGCGGCCAGCAGTGTGGGAGGCCGCACCCCACGCAGCGCTGCTTCGCGCGCCTTAATGACGCGTGGCGCACTCAGTTTCCTGCTGCCACTGAGCTGCCGCGCTGGGCTGATCTGGAAAAGAGGGGTGTTGATATTTGGGCTTTAGACTTTGATGCTATTCTCACTGCCATGTATGCGATGTCTATTAGTGGAGAGGGTGCTCAATACTTGCGTGTTCCGCCCGACCTGGGCATTCAGGCCAGTCCGGCTGCCGCTCTAGGTGCTAGTGCGTCTCCTCCCACAGGTCCTGGTGGGGCTGCAGCCCTAGGTGCTCGTGCGTCCGTGCCCCCTGGTACTGAGTCGACTGCAGCACTGCACACCTTCACACTGGACTCAGGTGCTTCTCGCTCTTTCTTTCGTGACCGCACTGTCCTTGAGCCACTCGCTCGGCCAGTTGCTGTCTCCCTTGCTGACCCCTCTGGGGGTCCGGTCATTGTGACCTCCTCCACTGTCCTTCCTTGTCCGGCGGTCCCGTCCGGCACGCTGTCAGGTCTCTACCTCCCCTCGTTCTCTACGAACTTGGTAGCGGGTGCGCTCCAGGACGGGGGTGTTCACCAGTTCACCCCTGCCTACGAGCGCGTGACACACTGCACGTGTGCTCGGACGGGTCGCCACCTGGCTACCTTCACTCGGGAGCCGGGGTCGGACCTTTACACACTGACCACTGAGTCCCCTCAGGTAGCTGCGTCCGCGTCTGCGTCTGCGTCAGGTCAGCTGTCTGCCCCCTGCTCGTGTCGCTCTCTGGCGCATGAGACTGTCCTTTGGCACCACCGCCTTGGTCACCCGTCTGTGCAGCGCCTTCGGGCCATGCACAAACAGGACCTTGTTGCTGGTCTTCCCAGGGTGCTCCCTCCCCTTCCAGCCTCGCCTGCTCCTCCCTGTCTTCCCTGTGTCGAGGGGCGGCAGCGCGCCGCTCCTCACTCCTCCTCCTTTCCCCCGACGACTGCTCCTTTGCAGACGCTCCACATGGACGTGTGGGGCCCAGCCCGCGTCCGTGGCCAGGGTCAGGAGAGGTACTTCCTGATTGTTGTTGATGACTTCTCGCGCTACACCACGGTCTTCCCCTTGCGCACCAAGGGTGACGTCCCTGATGTCTTGAT